CGGTGTCAGTTGTTTTTCACATGGTCAGTTATGTCGGTCTTTCCCGGGTTAGCAGTCCTAGAATTTTTTATGTTCACGTTCCGGACGGGTCAAATTTCAACGTAGTCTACCCGGAAGCTTTGCGCTGAAGTATTTTCATTCTATATGTACTTAAGACTCATGTGAAAGCGATCTAAACAATATTACCAATACATTAACATAATAACATACAAGGAGTTACACGCTGATGGTCTCGGGGCACAGTGATAATAATAATATTCTGCGGTTCCTTATTGTGATATTTTTAACAGTATTATATTTCCCTACTAAAATACGAAAGTTAATCTGTCTGTCACATCAAAACCACGGAACCCTGAGGAAGGACATATGCTACTTTTTTACGAAAAACGACGATAACGCGGACGAAGTCGCGGGCAAAAGCTAGTGGTATATAAATGCTTGTATACATAGAGACTCCCTTTAGGATTGGTTGTCTCATGGAGCTAATTAGACATAGATAATGGACTGTGCGTTCCCACTGGACTGATTAAAGACGATTAAACTCTCTCTTCGCTAAAATGGCTGAAACGTCAAATATTTGTCAGGAAAGTACGGTAAGTAGGTAGAAAAAATATGGCAAATTTATATATGGGAAGCTTTCTGTGCCTTGCCTTAGCAGCCTATAGATGTTGGCCAAGCGACGGCCAATACCAACCGCCTATAGATGATGGCCAAGCGATGGCCAATACCAACGTATAGATAGCATATTTGTCTTGTTTTTTTTTTGAGTGTGTACGGATGCTGTTGGTCTTAGATGACCTTTACAACGTCACTGGGTTTGTGGACGGCGAGATACTAAGGGGACCTCAAGCTGAGAATTGGCGAGTGCTTCCAGAGGTATTCAAGGCGGATGGCATCTCCCCACGGGGGGAGTCTCCTCTCCGTCTGAAGCCTGTAGACCACTCGAACCTGAGGGGATATTTGTCTTGCCTTGTTATTGCTCGGTGTGGTGTCGCTTGCCTAATTTACCTAGCAAAAGTAAGAGTTAACTTATATAGACCTAATTTTTGAGTCGCTCGCCAGCATTTTGCCACACGCCATTCATAATACTTGCATTGGTCTTCTTCAAACTTTCGTTTGCCTACGCTCGCTATGAGTCAAACTCGCCCAAAATGTACTTATTGGCAGCCTTACGAAAGACACAGGAGCTCAAGAAAGCTTTTTGGACACTCATCCTTTAACAATCCTGTCTTATAACTGCAAAAGATTATTTTATTTGAGAATTTCAGATCGGAAGCACTAGGCACCGTGCTTTGACCGTGCTGCAAGACTCCTCCCCGGCCTGAAGGTGCGTATAGACTATTCGCTATACTATTGCGCTATCAGTATCACACTAATATTATACAGGCGAAAGTTTGAGAGTGTGTATGTTTGTTACTTCTTCACGTGTAGACGTGATAAAGTAACAGTAAGAAGGCAGGAGCGATTTTAATAAAATTTGCTATGGAGTTTGCGGTCACCTTGGATTACATAGGCTACGTTTTACTGCGGAAAAGATCCTTAATAAACCGCTCGTAACACCGCGGGGCACAGCTAGTAGTGCATATGGCAAACCAATACTATATAGTATACAGCGTGGTGTGAACGTGTTCTATGTAAATGTATGATGCGTGATATCATGTTATCTCTATATATATAAAACTCAAAGGTGACTGACTGACATAGTGATCTATCAACGCACAGCCCAAACCACTGGACGGATCGGGCTGAAATTTGGTATGCAGGTAGATGTTGTGACGTAGGCATCCGCTAAGAAAGGATTTTGATCAATTCTACCCCCAAGGGGATAAAATAGGGATTGAAAGTTTGTATGAAACTTTGTCAATTTTAAACCGATCGGGCTGAGACTTTGCATGCAGGTATAAGAAGAATCATAGATGAATGTCATTGTGTTTAATACAACCCTTAGAACAAAAACTGTAGTCTACATTTCAGCTCTACACTGAAGCGAAGTGAGGGCGGGCCGCTAGTGAGCTATAAAGCTATACAGTACATATAGTGTATCGTATCGCAAACCGATACACTACAATTTTATTCAGTGAAGCGTGGTATGAACGTGCGGCATGTTAATTTATGGTGCGTAATATTGTGATATGAGGTACAAAAATATATAGTATAGACAGTCTGATCGCACCTCAAAGCTTTTATAAGAAAGGTAGGATGTTAAAAAGCATATAACCCACTTTATGGTAAACAGTCCGTTGATGCTTGAGGTATACACTCCAGCAAACTTGTTGAGCATCGACCATAGGCAAGGAAGCCGTAGGTGAGCAGTAGCTATTTTACATACAAATACGTCTGTTGCGCAAGTTTATTTGTCTGTGGTTTTGGCCTAAGAAGTTTTTGCCACTACCCATACCAGATTATCACTCGTATGTTGTCTATACTACCTCAATCATATCTTGGAACTGAACACACTCTTTTTCTGTAAAATTAATATTTATTGATAATGATAACTCCGAGGACCACTTGCACCAACATTCTTAATTCAAATTAAGTCAAGTCTAGTCTAGTCCTGTATTAAATTTTAATAATCTTTCAATGAAGTATCCGAATGCTCAATGAAATTCTTTCGAAGGTGACTCGACAAAGTAAATAAAAATCATAATTCTGACGATGCAGCCTGGAAAGGGTGTAAAACGTCGAAAAAGAAATAAAAAGACGCAGTTTAAGCGTGTTTCATTTATTTAGTTTTGTTTGATTGAATAATTCTATAAAGTCAAATAGATATAGAATAAGGTTTAAACATGATTAGCTTTTAAAATTAAGAACTACAGAATAAAGATAGTTTTTTTTTGTTTCCTCCCAGGCGGGGGAGCGGCTGAGAAATCCTCATGGATACCCTACAGCCGGCTGCAAGGTTATGTCAGACTCGCACTGACTAAAAAACATCCGTAGGGGCTGCCTCTGGTCGGGAAGGCCTCTAAGGCTTCATCGGAAGCGATCGTCCCCCAGGGGGGGGGGGAGCGACGCAGTACAGAAAGAGGTTAAAAGGGTATAATTATATACCATTTGTACGGGAACCGTAGTCGCTGGCTCGCACCCACTTCACATCCACGTAATATATAATAGCCAATCAAACGATGCGATATCAAATAGTCGAACCAATCAGCGCTCACACCCGACAGCAACGACGCAATTAGAACCAAGATTTGGTCAGTTTCTCTTTCTGTGTTCTGTGGTAAGAATTTTGTTGCAAGTGGGCTTTACCTATATTATACTTCGAGGCTAGAATAAACTTGTTTAACGCCATTCAAAGAAACCGCATCGCCAAATTTATGTCCAGGGTTGAGGAGTGTAGGAACTCTATTATATCAGGTCTGGCGGAGAGAATTTTCAATACGAATATGTATAAACGATGGGTGCAATTAGCATCCTGAATCATGATACGAGTGACCTCTAATGTAACTTGATTTTGTATTTGTGAATATGGTAGTTTGACTTCTGTGTATATATAATATTAATATAATTATAAATTGGAATTAAGTAATGCTATTATAGCTTAAGTAATAAAACAAAGAAACTTTCGATACATCATCATTTATTTAAGTGACATATTGTGTAGTTTAATAATAATCACATAACTGGTAAAATAGACATAATGATTGCACGTTCGTCTTTGGATCCGTTTACAGTAGGTACTTCATAAATTTTTATACATTTACATAATATTTACATTGAACAAGTAAGGTAAAATAAAATACGTAATATAATAAGAGGAGAATAATTACCTAGATAGATTTATTTATAAAACATTTGTACACGTCATTGTTATTTTCAAGAGAGAATAAAGTAATATTACTATAGTGTCGTATAGAGAAATCAAAGTTTTGTAAAATTATTGATGTCAAAAGTCTCCACACTTATTAAGTTCTCTACTTTATTTTGTTTTTAATCGAATGGATTATATAAAGAATGAATGTAGTCATATAAATTATTTGTAAACTACCATTTAATTCAAATAACGACGGAAATCAAAATTTTCCCGAAATACTTATATTTTATATTGAATGTGCCTAAAATTTAAATAATTCTGAATACTAAATAAATCAGTTCATGAGTAATGTTTAAACTTTTTAACGCTGTAAGCATGCATTCAGAGTATTTCGCCACCTTCGTTCAATTATGTTTGTAATGATAATAAAAAAACCGAAAATGCGAAACTATTTGCGTATTATTTTGTAAATTATAAATCATGACAAGAGTTTATAATGTAACCAGTTTCCTAAAAGTGCAAGTGAGGTGAAAAGTATTTTAATTTTATTTTAATTACATTAAACAGCTAAACATTATTATAAAGACACTGTGTACATAATATATTTATAAACTGTGTGTACCACATATTTACAATTTTCCTAATTTTCTATCTGGTTTTGGCATGAAGGATTTCACATGTCGGAATTATTCGATAACCTAACAATAACTTTTATTATAACTTTATTTGGAAAAAGAAACCTTTAAGTTTTATTCTAAAAACTAAATTTGAAAAAAAAAAAAGAATTTAAACTTTTTCAGTTTGTCTAGTTGCCTTCACTGGTATATAAAGATAATTAGTATTTTATTATTTATAATACAATTCAGGATGATATTGAGATGAGAATTCGTTTTATTGAAACCTATTTTTGGATAATTTCTTTCTTAACACTTGTTTAGTGAGGTATAAAGGAATGAAAAACGGAATTGATGGAAAACAAAACAAAATGGAATGACTCTTTGTACTTTAAGAGAGTTACAAGATGACATAGTTAATATTCGTTAAAGTGGAATGATTTCATCAGTCCATTTGATTACATGAAACTATTTACTATAGTTAATCATAAGTTGTACTTATAGAAAACTTAAAATAAATCAGGATACACTAGATTTTACACGAATGTACCGCGTTTAAACTTTCTTTCTTACTAACCGTTACATTTAACAACGTTCATTTGAAGAAAAAAAAACAGCCTTTAAAATATTTTTAAAATGAGATCAAAAACTCACAATAACAAGCTTTATAATACAATCATAAATCTATATAAATAAATTGAGTTTTATTTGCTTTGGAATAATAATTGTGACGTTTTCAATAAATCTAGAACATCTGCATTATAATATTTAAAGAAAATAACAAACCATTTGTTGTTTTTGATTTGGAAACAATGTTGTGATGACCCTTGCATAGAAAAGTATTCACCAAAGTATATAAAAGTATACTCCCAGAAACGTCACTCTTTTGATAGTTGTAAGTAAAAATTAGATGACTTTTTATTTTAAGAATCATCACAATACAGTTCACGTATGAAGAAAATTATTTTTAGGTGAAAGTGATTTTAGGTACGGTTGTTATATTACAGTATTTTATGTTATTAACGGGATTGTTCCCATGTACTTTGTTTGTCCCGTTTTGTGCATAAGTGCCGAAATATCAGAGACTCGTAAGAAACAAGATACATGGTACAAATCCCGTTAATTATATAAATTACTAGAGTGTTAGTGACCATGGAAGTTTATAACAATATATGGCTGTTATATTTACATTGCTAGTAAGAGAGTGGACTCTGTATTCTTATGTTAAGGTCGTGATTGCCTCAGCGCCAGGTAGAAGGCGCGAAGGCTGTTGACGTTCAGGAAGGGAGCGCTTGCAAGGGCGGCACGGAGGTGCTCATGTGCGGGGCCCTGAAGTCCGGGTGCGGGGCCCTGAGCTCTGCGTGGGGCGGTCGGAGATCTGTCGACAAAACGCCTGGTTGATTACAGAAGTCTTGTCACTGTGATAAATATATGTTTCAGGCATTTACTGAAACATTAAGGTCCTAGATATTTTTAAACTAAATATAAATTTTATTAGAAAAAGAAACTACTTGACTGATTGGGTTAGGAATCGAATCAATTAAAATAGATTAATTTGCATTCGATATTAATAATAGTAGGTATATAGATTGGAGGAGTTCGATGGCGCAAGTGGTTAGAGCGTTCGGCTGCGATCGTTGAACTTAAGCAACTTTCGCAGTGGTCGGTCATTGGATGGTTGACCAAAAATTACTATCTCGAGCTCCTCCGTGCTTCGGAAGGCACGTTAAGCCGTTGGTCCCAGCTGCATCTGCAGTCGTTAGCACCCATCAATCCGCACTGGGCCCGCGTGGTGGGTTATGGCCCAATCTCCCTATTCCATCCATAGGGAAGGCCTGTGCCCCAGCAGTGGGGACATCAATAGGCTGATGATGATGATGATATAGATTGGATCACTAAAAACCGTTGATTTGCGTTTTATTTTCTTAGATTTACTGTTGATTTAACGTAAAAATAAATGATAGCTCATGTACTATATTATGATCTGTGGCGGCGTACAAAACCATTTTCCTCTCGCAGTGCCTCCGCAAATCCACCTTTCAATGGAATGCTCGCCCAAACTGTTCGCACATAAACGGCTCATACCCAGTGTGCTTGCGCAAGAGGGTAATCCGGTACAAATTATAGTTTACCTATTCTATGATCTGTGACCGCGTGCATCTCGGGCGCATGCATGGCATGCACGTCAGTGTGTGGCGGTTGCATGTGCGCCTGTGGTGCCCTAAGGTCCGCATGCTGCGTCTCGCGGTGCCGTCGTAAGTCCACCTTTCTCTGGAACGCTCGACCGCATAATTCGCACGCAAACGGCTTGAACCCAGTGTGCTTGCGCGAATGAGTGATCAGGTTGGAGCTCTGACTGAACGCTTTGCCGCAGACTTGGCATTTGTGCGGCTTCTCTCCTGCAACAAGGACAATGAAAAGATCTTTTAGTTGATTGTTTAATCTTTGGAATATATCCATCCACTAGCTTTCCATCGACGGTTCAACTTGCGATTAAAAAGTGTTAAAGTTATCGGCACTCCTCAAAAAAGCCACATTTGTTTAGGTCAAAAATCTAATTTGAAAACAATAGTGACCAGTGAGCAGAAATTACCGAATATGATGCATGCCATGTTTTTCTCGCACTCCCATTCCAGCATGGAAGATGCTATCTGTAACCGTAGATATACAATCAGCGTCGCGTCCGTATCGATCGGCACCTTCGCGACGTGATGACTCGACACGGCAACGCTGCCAATATATCTAGGGTTGCTACACCACTTTTTTTTGTTAAAAGAGTGGCAAACAAGCTTGTGCTCCGGGTGATAGTTACGCGGCTATAGCATATAGATGCTTGCGATACCAAAATTATAACCTTCTTCACCGACAGAAACACAACACAAACAAAAGATAGTGTTATTTTACTGTGATCTTTTTTAAGGTGGAGGTTGCTTCCCCAGATGGACGCTCCTATTTCCTATTTCCTACCTCTGTTAAGGTTTCTATTTAATATGTGATTATTGTTAATTATATTCCAACTTCGTTAATTTATTGTTCAGGAATGATGATGCACTGATTACTTTACCAAGGAGTATAGTCAGGAATTGTGTAAAAAATCTATTATGTTTGGGCACGTTTTCTCGGTCTATTCCCTATTCTCACATACTAAACTGATATTTAAAGTCAGGATGAGGAGACATTTACCATGTCTAGTATGAAAAAATATGGTCAAGGTATGATAGTGTTTTCAGAAATAAACATTTCGCTCGTAGGGACGAAGACTATAACACAAGTCTTTGCACATTTAATTCATGAAATGGATCCCTTTCTTAAGTTTTCTTTATCACAAACCCTCAATTTTCTCAAAACTCGTAAAGACTTTAACATCCAGCAGTTGAATGCCAAAAAAATAAAACATATAACTCTCAATAATTTTGAAAATACTATCCAACGACACCTCACATCATGGGAAAACAAGAAAAGTAACTAAACTATTACCTAAAAAACTAGATTTTAATAGCACTCATAATTCCTAATAAAAATATTGTTCTAAAGAAAATGTTACTAGAAAAAACATCGACCGTCAGGGCCGCGGTAGCAAAATGGTCAGTGTTTTCGCCCGGATAGCGAAGAGTGCGGGTTCGAGTCTCGTCTGCTGCCTGGTCAAACATCGAGCAATTACATGCTTAAAAAATAAAAACTGTAAATTAAAATATTGTTACCTATTAGCTGCTGTTGTTGCAGCCCTACCGTAAACTGGACCACGTGCTGTATTGGTACACGTCCGCGTAATCTGTGCAAGTCTGGCCCGCGGAGGTTTGCGCGTCCAGTTACCGCAGAAATTTACAACTGTAACCTTAGCACGAACCAATATCGAATTAGAATAGCTAGCGAGTGTCATTGTAAAATTTTGTATGGAAACTTGAACATCAGCGTCATAATGGACGTAACGAGAACTAAAAATCAGTACACATTTGACATATAACATTTCGCACCCGTAAACTATTCCAATTCGATATTGTTTCGTACTAAGGGTACTGATTATCTTCTACTAAATACTTCTTCGGTTCCGTGAAATTTTTTTCAAGGTACTCTATCGAAAAGGTGGCAATTCATTCACACGATACGAAACGCATTTACCTATAATGAGTACTGATAATATGATTGATTTTACAATTTCACTCATTGTACTGCAAATGTTATTTTATTGTGTACATGAACGATGGAAAATCTGAAAAACAATGGGTTCCTTTTTGTGCGAGTCCGACTCTCAATTGGCCTCGTAAATACTATTATTTTTCGTATTAATTAACACTGTCGATTGTAATAAAGTTGTTTTTTTTTAAATCTTGTTAATAATAATTTAAATAAGCTTTTTTAATATTGTAAATACCAACATAGAAAAATCATGTTCTGAAAATTTCAACGAAGTATTTACTTAATACGGTTTATGAGACACAGCCTGCTAACAGACGCACGAATGGAAAACGGAGATTAAGTAATAAGGTTCCATTGTCATTATCTGGGAACGGAACCCTAAAACTCATAGTATGAGTACCTAAATATCTAAAGCTTAAAAGATTTATAATGCCTCTACAGAAGTCACACGAATATGAGCCGGTGCGGTGCTTCGAGAAGAATATTTCTACAGAAAATTTCAGTGGAGTAGGTATCTAGTATTTTGGTTCAGCGTCGCTTTATTTCCTGAGGTTATGAGAGTGTGTAAGATTCCCATAACTCAATGGGTTCTTGAGTGCAGGGACGGAGTCGAGGCAGACAAGGTGCAAGCCATACTGATTTACGTGTTTCAAAAAAGGTCATGTTTCCTTTTTTATGCGAACTAACATGCTTCCAAAATAAAAAATAAAACTTCTTTTATAATTTTTTATTAATTTTGTCTCGAATTTCCAAGAACCCGTAAAAAGGCTCTTACTCGAGAGTCGTTATAGGCTTCATAGATACAGCACTTTAACGATATCGTGATTCCAACGATGAAAGAATTTAATAAGGCTTTGTGAGGGAAACCTTTTGTAGTTATTATTGGAAGGTCGTCATTTAATATGTCTGTTGTTGTTTTTCTTCTTTTATTTTGCACTCTACAATTTATAGAAGTCTTCGGAGATTTACAAAAATAAAAGAAAATACTGTTAACTGTTAAATATAAAAAAATAGGCACACACTTCGTTGTAAACAAATGTACCTACTATTCAAATAAAATAAAGTCAATTAAATAAATAATTGATAATTTTATATGTTCCCGATCGTTCTGTAGAGGAAAACACTGTCGCGTGTTGCATAACAACGGAATATCATCGACCAATGCGACGCGACGCGGCCGGGAGGTAATTACCTGCACAAATCACGGCACGCTATCGGCCGAACTTAGGTACAGCGCCGAAAAAGGGCCGCACTCCGTCAATCAAGGGGCTGGCGAGTGGCGACTTCATTACAGACAGGGACGGCGGGGCAGCCTTCCCGCTCGCGCATCAGTCTACTGTCGCGAGAGCAATTTATATCCGTCGTGCCATTGGGCCGTGATTGCGGCGGCTCCTCCCCACGTCGCGTAGCAACCGTGTGGGGGGCACCCCACCTCGTCCCCCTCCCCCTCCCACTTTATGGATCGCAATTTTCCTTTGAATTGGAAATCAGAGCGCTCGCCGCGAGTCTCGCTCGTTAGCCCTCTCTCCATCTTCGCGATACTTCCGACTACAGATTTTTACTGCGCCGAGAAAGATGTTCGTCCAAATTGTGATGTTTGCGTCGGAGGCTTCCTTTTTTGCCTCCGCTCCGTATACGCGAGGTGAATAAGTATTCGCCCATGAATTTGGGGAATGCTCAAACGAGCATTTCAATGAGGAGATGCCGATAATAAACTATCTTACCTTGCAATGTAATCTACGTATCAATAGTGGCTTTTAGAAGCAGTAGATTCTCAAACTTTTTAACAAAGCTTTACCCAAAGCAGTACTTATCGTTTACATTAGCGCAGGCAAGATTTTGGGATAATTTAGGTTGGAGACAGTTCTCAAATCTTAACTTGCTTTACTAAATAAGTAAACACAAGCGTGCCCAACTTCAACGATTACACGGAATTACAATCCCTTACGTCGAGTCTCTGGAACCGCGTGAAATCTTCGCATCCCGTCCTTTAACAGCGTAATTACGCTTCTATATTACCGGGGCCCAGGGAGGGGGTTAAGGGGGCGCCACTTAATTGTTTTGGGGGTGAAGTGCGGAAACTGAATGAATTGAATTGAAAGACGATGGTCTGTGTATTATTGATCTATGCTGAAACTTTGGAGATTGATTTATTGGGGTCCTTGGGGGGCACGTAAATACTTACAGAGGGGGTGTGAATTCTCTATTTTGAGCATCAATTTACTTCGTTTTGCTTTGTAACGTTGAAGGATGCTAATATAATTTATAACTTCGAATAAGTTAACTCTTTCATCATAAGAAGTTGAGCATATTTTGTGTTTTATAAGTAAAATATAAATCAGTTGGGAAAACTCAATCTATAAAATAACTCAACAGCAAGAAAGCTTCTACTGATAAAATTCCAGTGCCATTATCTCAGCCCGGGTTTTGATCGCATCGTTTCACGTGTATTGCATACTTAGCAGGTAATGGATGATAAACTAGTTATATACGTTACCGTTTCCGAGAGCTCCACAGATTTTTAGAGGCCAATAACTTTTATTTGGGCCCCACTTTGTTTCGCTTTTCAACTCGCGGCTATCTAAAAACTTGCTGTTAATGTTTGTGAAAAATGAGCTCTGGCTTTTAAAATGTTTTTATTCGACACAGTATATTTTTTATGAACATCGGAGAACATCGAAAATTTCGTCACTATTTATAAAATTCATATTTTTTAAAGGGATTTCAGTGTTCTAGGGAACTGTCCCTAGAACACTGAAATCCCTTTAAAAAGTACTGACTCCGCACAGGCGAACTCAATGAAATATTTAATTTGTAATTATTGTTGTACCTTTTATTGACATTCGTAAATGAATTTATGAATGATAAATGACAGTGTCAAGGGATTTAAATTTTATGTGAGACTTATTTTTTTATTAATACTTAATGCACAAGCGTACAAAGGCGGACTTAATGCCAATGGCATTCTCTACCAGTCAACCATAGGGTGTCGTGGATAAATAGTGGTAGGGTGGTACAACTTAGATAGAAATTACAGAAAGACGAACAGATATAAATGTGAAGCAGTTATATATACGAGATTGATTTCTAAAATAATGTATACGTTACGGATCTGGGTATATGAAGGTATAGGTAGGTATTGTGTTCCGTTCTTTTTACTGATATATCCTTTACACGCGCTAAGGCGCTGGCTTTGCTATCTTGAGCTAAATTCTGAGCTGTAACCAGACCCGTCTTTCCCAGTGGGCACTTTGGGTAAGTG